AGGGGGGGGGGGAGAGGGAGAGAGAGAGAGAGAGAGAGAGAAAGAGACGTATGCTTGATTATACTAACCTCGAGCGCGGGCGTGTTGAGCAGTGTATGAGTGGACTGGGTCACATCGGCCGCATGGAGGCTGTTGTGGAAGGGGTTGTCCTTCACGTAATGATCCTCTAGGGTCATCATGAAGGTGACGAAGGTCTTCGGTGGTATCGCTAGCGACTTGAGCAGATCTCGGCTCTGGAAGGCCGTATACGCCACACAGGTAAGAGGTCGATTGTTACTGAGCTCACCTATCCTGAAGATGTCAATACCCCATTTGTCGATGTCCGACAGCAGCTGCGAACAGTCACATGAAAAAAAAGTGAAACACTGACAACGATCCTCACAGCTATTAATAGATCAGTATTCATAGTCGGATTTTATATAGGGTTGCAAGTAATCAACTACGTTTTTAATTAATTTTCGTGTTTAATTGACGATTATTATGAACCAATTCAATTGAAGACCGTTTAATTGGCTGATGATTTCAACAAATTCAATCAGTTTGCTCATATCAATCGTCAGTTAAACAGCCTCTAATTAAATCTACCAAGTTCAATCGTCAATTAAACGGCCTTTAATTAAATCAGCTAAGTTCAACTGTTGAAACGATGATTCTCTTTGCTCATATCGATCGTCAATTGAACGGTCTTTAATTGAATTCGTTTTAATTGAATAGTCTTCAATTAATTTTGATCGAATCAATCGACAATTAGTTAAACCGAAATATATTTGTCCAAAATCAATTATTGAGTTGAGAATGATTTATTTGATATTTTTACAACCCTAATCTTATATTAAAAGTCTTAATGAAATAATTCGTGCAGTAGCTGAAGATAAACTTAAGGCATAAAATTAAATATGAGATCTGACTATATGAATAGTTATTACTTAAAGTTTGTCTCAAATAAGATATTTAGATTAGAATTGAATGTCTTGAAAGAGGAGTTCTTCCGTCTCAATTACAGATATATTGACGTCGCACATACACATATCAACTATTCAACTGAAAAACTTGGATCTAAATAAAAATCCCATCATATGAGACGAAATGAGTTTCAGGTGACAACTATTAACACAGACTTATATACCGTTGTCAAGACACGCTAATTGCACATGTACTTTGGAGCAATATAGCGAGAAATCTCAATAATTATTTAAACATTTTTACTGTCGTACGTCGCGTATATATAAATATTGATTGAAGCCAATGTTTGAAGCCATCCGTTAAAGAAGAGACTACGTTTCAATACGCGACTCGCGGAGGTCCTGCATTATCTCTGAGAGGTCGCGGATTATGCACGAGCAACGTCACGATATCTTCTTCTCGTTATCACCGGCCACGAAAATGAAATTCGATAAGAACGGCAGATCGATCGGACAGAACCAGTTGGAGGAAATAAGTAATATTCCTTGAAAATTTAGTCGATTGTTTGTAAACACCGGCTAGAATGTTAATGAATGAATTTTAATGGAGCGTCATCGCGATCGCTCGCCGTCTCTTTTCGTGCCGTTTCGCCGATAATAGTCTCGCCACGGCGGAAAGCAACGCGTGGGAAGCGCCAACTTGAGCACCAAACAAAGCATTCACGAAGTAATGCATCGACAGGTCTCACCAACCACGGCTGAATCACAATCGCGTGGGCATAAAAATGTCACGAGTCTGAGGAAAAAGTGCACGACCATCTAAGGACGCGAGTCTGTCGTCAAACGCGGCCTCGACGATTCCTGCCCGCGAGGAGATTCGGCCGATACGCGAGATTTTGGAGATTCCTGGCGCGGAAATAATCGGCTAAATTATTAATGCGCGCGCGACAATTGAGATCAAGAGCGATACGTTAAATAAAGTATCATGTTTCTCAGATCGAGACTCAAAGGTCACTGCAAATAGCCTCGACGGGTGTGAAGGCAGAGACGCCGAAAATCGAGCTCTTTCACGGCGCTAATCAGCCCAAAGTTGTCAGGGTTATCGAAACCACGCAACCTCGGTTCAGTGTCGCGTGTTCGATTGAAATATATATACAATCGACCTTTGGACCGTATGCGTGAGCGTTTTACACACAGAAAAATACATAAATTCAAATAAATATTATTTGTTTCAAGAATATTTCATAAGTGCTCATCCGTAAATCTATCGTAAATTTATCACTTCGATTAAGAATATTAAATTAAAATAAAAATTCGATTTACCATGTAGAGTCGAATCACTTTTTCTTGGTTCTAAAGTTTTCTAAAGTTTAACAATATTTGAGTAAAGAGAATTAATTATTTTTTTAGTGCACAGTATTGAATAGTGAGCGTTTTTTAAAATTTCTAAAATTTGTGATATATGTTTTAAAATGTTTATGAAAGTAAACTGAGTAATCGCTTCTCTTCGCAGTAGAATGATATTTTTCTGTATGCGGTTTCTCTAAAAATCCTGTCATTATTTACATCGAGCGATGCGTGTATCTGCAGCATGCTATCGACAGCAAAACAAGTTTGTGTCGGATTAAAATAAAGCCGAATAAAAATAAAGTCTAAAAACCAATACACGTACTACACGATAATCCATTGTGTTGGAAAAAATATACAGAAAGTTTCGAAAATATTATAAAGTGAGAGGGAGAAGCATTTATTTTAGTCCTAGAACATATTAGGTCTTAGGACCTTTAAGAATTATTACGTATGAAGTTACATAAATCATATTATTAATGTGAAAGAGTTACACAAAAAAAATATTTAGTGTAATATTTATGATAGTTTTACAAATTTAAATTGATTTACATTTAACGTACTTTGAAAAAAATAATTATCAGTATAGATGCTTATTAATATATTGAAATATTTTTTTCAGTTATATGTATACAGCACATAATTATACACTTAAAGAGATATGCAAACTAAAAAATAAAAAAAAACAAGATAAAAAATTCAGATAGAAAACAAATAAAAGATACAATAGAGAATAAGTGATAATTTTAACTCGATAGAGACTTTACGTACCATCGGACCACAAATTCTCGCCCACCAGAGAAAGAGAGAAAGGGAGATAAAAAGAGAGAGAGAAGGAGGGAGATGAAAACCTAGAATAAAGGTTTGTTGAAAACCTGGAATAAAGGTTTGTTGATTATACGGCGAATTCCCGAAGAGCTGTAGTTCCGCGACGACAAATTGAAACGCATCATGGCTTCTTTAATTAAACGCTTGTTAAAAAAGCGAAGCGTACTAACGGAATGAAAAATAAGCTTTCGCTGTCTGATTCTGCATTGCTCGAACACCTTGGCTCGCCGAGACTCGTTAAGTTTTATCGCTGAACAAGTCCGTGACCGGCTAAAAGCGCGCCGGCGTTAAAAACAACAACGCTCTTCTTCCTCCCAGTTTGGTCCCCGGCGTCTCGATTCAGAGAAGCCACTTCGGGAATTCGCCGTATAATCAACAAACTTGGATATTCCAGGTTTTCATCTCGCGACGTGCCCACGCATAGAGATACGCGTGAAATGAAAATTGCGCGCGATAAAGGGGCGAGGCGCGCGTAGAATAATACGCGGGCGCTATATCACGCTTACGTGCACATGCCCACCCCGGAAACGGAGCAAGAGGTTCGTCGGCGAATATCGCAATAGTCAATATAGACTCGGCGCAATCAATGGCGTGAAGCAAACTTTGCACGAGATACTCTTTAATTGCCGCTCGCTAAGCTCACGTCCGTACCTAATCTCTCTCTATCTCAAATATCTTAATTTCTATCGCTATTAGGATTGCACAATACCTGTTTTGTCAGCATTGAAGGTCGGTTATAACCCATTTATTTTTTGTTTATTTAGAAATTACTCTATTCAACTTAAAAATCAATCGGCAATCACTTTCTCGTTTTTGTACTATTCAGTGTTCCGAGAGATTATTAATCTCAGAGCTAAAACTGCGCTCTCTTTCTCTCTCTTTTTCTACTTGTAATTCGCGCCGCGATAGATCCGGTCTAATCATTTCCCTTTCTCTCTCCTTTGTTTTTCTTTGTTTACTCCTCTTTCTCTTTGCTTCATTGCTCTCTCGCGTCATGCTTCCGTGAGAATGGGAGCGATGTAAATATTTATTGGACGAACGCGTGTATTGTATATCGTCGACGACGTCGTGGTCAGTACTTAATGGAAACTCCGGAGATCGCGGGGCATCCGTTTCGTGCGCGCGGCCACGACGTAGTTACATAGGTATGGCGGATTTTGGACGAGGCACGGATGAAAGCCAGAAACACCGCGGAATTCGCGGCGATCGGATTGCGTCAATATCGCGCGCGGATCAAAGAGCGGAGAGGAACAATAAACGGGATATCATAGCGCTGAGAGAAATAACGAAGGAACGGACGTCAACGCGATAAATTCGCCAAATTGGAAAGCTGGCGTGGCGAGTCGGAGACAAGAATCTGCGGCGTGCATTCACGGTGTGGACCGCCGTTGCCGTTCATTTGAGGATGACATCGCGGGGAGGATGCGACGCGCTTCGAAAGTTTATACGTCCTCGCGTCGCGAGAATACGTAACCAGCCGGACGTTAATTTCACCTTCCTGAAAATTTGAAATCCACCTGTTTGTTTCGTAAGCTACATATTTTTACACATTTATTTCCCCGCTATATTTTTACATGTATTTATTACGCAACATTCGCTGGGGACGCGTTGACTCGATAATTAAGAGGCCTGTAAGCCAGGAAACGCACAACATGATGTTCCAGACGGCAGCGTTCCTGTTAACATCTGTTTTGCTGGATATTCCGTTTTTTCTTTTTTTTTTAATTAAAAACTAAAAGTTATCCTCCGCCCGGCAAACCGGTAATTTATCGGCGCGACTTGTCGCGAAATAAAAGTCAACCGGTCGAATCGCTAATCAACGGTTACTTTCAGGAAATTAGCAAGCGAACAAATTACAAGTCTCACGTTTCTACATTCTTTTCTTTTTAATAATAAGTCGATCTTGTCTCGGCAACTACATGAATCGATACTCGATGAAAGCCAGCCGCGCAATCTGCGACGACTAAAATCGAACGATATACGCGCGACGATCATTTCTTCTCGATACTTAGGGTAGAATTTATTTATGTTGCAAATATGTTTGAAAGCACCACGTATGAACCAATCGTTCTTTACACACCCCAAAGTATTTGTAGCTTCAAGTGGATCTCATGTCGTAGATATCTCTTACCAGTAAACCTACTCAAAAGCTACACTCCAATTTCTTTCTAATTTGGCACAAATGTAGAAATACAAAAAATATTAATATTTAGTACGCAAAAAATATTTTTTCATTTTGACCCACTTTGAGTTTCACGGGCAGTTTATAGCTTTTTAATATTCTCACTCCTATCATCAACAAATACAATAAAAATGCATAAGAAATAAAATTGAATACAAGATATAGTTAAATAATTTTAACAAAATCAGCACAGCTGAGACACGAAACATTCTAAATTTCTTTAGTCAAGATTCCAACCGAAATATTTCAAATCTGTGCTAAATTAGTCAAAAATGGTTCGAATCTTGGACAAACTAAGAAATTATTTGTATAAATAATTTTTTTCAACTTTTTACATGTTTTGCTCAAACATTTTATTATTTATACAAATAATCTTACACATTTGACTTCATATTCATAATCAGCAAACAAAAAACGCCTATATCTTGTATTCAATTTTATTTCTTATGTATTTTTGTTGCACTTGTTGATGATAGGAGTGAGAACATTAAGCTACAAAAAGCTATAAACTGCCCGTAAAAGTCAAAGTGGGCCAAAATAAAAAAATATGAGCTAAATATTTTTTGTACTTTTACATTTATGCCAAATTAGAAAGAAATCGGAGTGTAACTTATAGGTAGGTTTACTTGTTAGTCGTAGCGTTCCTTAAAAAGCTTTGAGGAAATGTCGGAGTCGTGATTGTTACCAGATTTCATAGTTTACAGATTTTTCCTATTTAGCTTCATTGCAAGTGTTTGTACCGTGTCAGCATACGTATGCTAATGCATCTCGGTTTAATCCGTGTTTTTTACGAAATATTAAAAAAAAACTCTATAACTATCATTTTATACAGCACCTGTGTATCTGACTCTGCATTATATTTTTTCGTTGTATGTCAAAACTTGCGAATTTAAATATGAAATATTATTAAGATAGACATGTAAGAACATTATAGACCAATAGGATGCAATTTGGAAGACTAAATTGAAAAAAAGAAAAGTTACAAACTACGAAATCCGATGAAATCCGGCAATAATCACGGCTCTGATATCCCCTTAATGACATCCCCTTTCTAATCAATACACAACGGCGGATTACATGTGCCGTTCTCTCGTTAGGCCACGACTAACGATCGCGCACGAAATTAACAGTCGAATAAATCTCGATTCCGGCAAAATAGATAATCAGTTTAGCGCTGATACGTGGGTGGATATCATGCCAATAAAAGCCGTCGAAAGCTACGCACCCGACGATAACGAGGTTGCTTTCGTCGGGGATCGTACGTGGGCGCGAGAGATGATCGTTATACGATGAACAACGCCAACGTAAACTTAGCAAATGACATAAGACTTCCCGTGGGCGTAGAGCGGATAAAGCCGCACATTTCAGTACCGGTAGGTGTTTGCCAATTTCGACGTTGCTCGTCGAAGATCATTCGTTGCGTTTCTTAAGCCCTTCATTGTCGATGACAGAAATTCTCGACAATTCTCGTCACTGGTAACGAAGGGGTTAAATCCTTCTCGGCGCTCTGATGCGAAACGAGAACGAGACTGAGAGAGGCGCAATGATGACTTCGAGATAAGCAGTATCATGCGCACGTGACAGTATAATTCTTCAGCCATTAACCCTGAAGTAAACGCGTGGGTGACGCGTGTCACCTGGCCGCTCTCTTCATTGTTATCTCGCGACCTGAGCGATTCTCTGCAAAGTCACGTTGCGCAAGATGCGAGAATAACGTACGCGAGGAGAGTCGATCTGAGAAAATTTCACCTGTCTACTGTCTTCACGAGAATACAGTGGCGTACACTCGGAAGAATTTAAGCTGCATTCGAATTAATTTTATTTGTTTCAAGTTTTACTAATTTTTTACTTGTTTGGAGCGTTAAGCTTACATGTTTAACTCACGAATCGTGAGTTTATTAGAAACATCAAGTTTTCAAAATACATTCTGAATCCTAAAAAATTTAACATTTCAATGAAGAATATTAAATTGAAACAAAAATTCGATTTGACTTTCCCTTCGATAAACTTTTATGATATTCTTGTGAAGAGAATAAATTTTTCTTTTGTGTACGTAATAACGAGGTTTTCTAAAACTCGTGATAAATATATTTCAAAATTATTATATTAAGAGACTGTTCTCTGTTGAAGATAACTATTGCTTAACCCTTAAACGACAAGTTGAAATTATAGAATATAACTCTAACATTTTTTCAGTTTCTTTTTTCTGCATATTAAAATTTGTATCATGATAAATAAATAGTAATTTAGCAAGAACATCTTTTCACTGTATAAAAATATTTTTTTATTATAGAGTATCTGACCTTGGTGTAAATATATCACAAAGTGGAATTTGCATCGAAAAATATGCACCGAATGGTATAATCATCTTCGACCTCACCTTGTCGTGTAAGGATTAAATGAAGGAAAGTGAACTGAGTAATCGTTTTTCTTGATAGAATGACATTTTTCTGTGTGCGAGCAGTGCGCCACGCGAACGCTCGCGTCTCATCTCGCGTCGATATTTCCTTGCAGACCGTCTTTCGAACCTTCTGACGCGTGTTGGTTCTCAACTCAGGCTGGCCTCGGGGAGGGAAGGAAAAAAAAACGCGCGAGACCGCGCGAGGTGGTAATCGCTGACATCGTCAGCCGGCGGGCGTCGAAGTAGCGAGACATTAAAGGTCGGAGGCTTACCTTGCCGAGCTGCTCCTCGTGCGGCGTTTCCACCCCGTGAAGCGGCACGCGTTCCCCGGTGAAGCTATTCGTGTGTGTCAACGGCCGTTTCACACCGCTGATGTGTGACATCGCGGCGGGGCCCCTTTGTGCACGGTCCTTCTTCTTCGCCGCCCGTGCGTCCGCGCTACCTGCCGCGGCGACCGCATCCTCGATTCGCAGAGACGGCAGATCCAACTCCTGCTGCTTGTCTGTGGGCAAAGAGCGACACGTGCGTGTGCAATAACGTCGCAATCGTGGATTGATCGGCGTTAACCTTGAACTTGAAGCGGAGCCACTGAACTCCCACTTATGTCGCAACAAAGAACACCGAGGGACGGCATTCTTTGCTTACCATTGAGCGTCTTTCAGATGCGTTATGAAGAATTGATACATCTCCGAAATTTATGCTCGCGCGATCGTATCGGCAAATAGCTGTTCGCTCTAATTTACATACACATAAATTTTAATAGCCCGCTCTCTCGTTCGAGCGCCTGAATACGTAACGCTCTCTTAAAGTGAATCAGTAAAAATGCTTCCGATCGAAGCACTATTTCACTGATCATCAGTGCGTATTCATTAATTTTCACTGAAAACGCTCCCACTTCACTGCTCCGCTTTATTTCTCGCTGATTTTGTGACTAGTGAAAGATTCCACTATGCAAAATCTATAATATACACGAGTTCGTCATATACTGTACCAAAATTATTTTTTTGTGGAGTTAGCAATAGAATTAACTGCGTCTTGCGTGAAATCTTGCACAGTCTGTGTTCGCAAAGTACAGCAATAATGAAATGATACAGAATGATACAGAAATAATCGCTACCATTAACTGATTCTTTCAATGAGATTTTACTAATTACAGTATGTTATATTTGTAACTGAACTACCAGTTATGAGTGCATTTCGACGAACCTTTTCGCACCAATCTTATATCTGTGGATCTCATCGCATCTTATATGGCGAGAATTGCAAGAGTCCAACTCGAGATATGCTATTGCGCGCACACTTGCACAAAGAACATGTGGCATTCGGAGCCCAATAAGGTGTAAAACTGGTTGACAATGTGTCGAGTAGCGTGCGGCTCTTAACGAGAACGTCGCCTCGCGATTGTTTTGGAGCTGTATTTTATTTCGCCTTAATTATACATGTTCTCTTTCATCGCGAATATCTTCCAGCGGGGCGCTCTCGAGTACAAAGGGTTCGATCGCGATTTTTGCCTGCCGATGATGAAGCTCGCGCGACTACAACCGATCGTGCCTCGGATAAAGTGAGTTAAGCGGAATGTATGGTCATGGTGGTACCGGCTATGGTCTTTCAAGGGCCTTTAATGCGTAAGAGCGCTCGTTTTATTGCGTCCATAAACTCGCTTCTGGCGACGACCTCGTTAAAACGCGCCGTCGAATTATCCTCTCCGTTCGTTCTCCCCCGTGATATTCGCGGAAACGCGGTTTCGTTTTCGTTTCAGGAGCGACGCGCGCGTCAAGATTCCCGTTTCGCTTGAGACCCGCGCCGCTCCGTCGTGTTTGCCGTTTTATTAATTTTCAACGAGAGTCCCTCTCGAGATACTCACCGAGAAATGTGCTGCAGATGTATTCCGAAATCTGGTTCCCGGATTTCGACGACTCCGAGAAGTGCGACAGTTCCTTGTTCAGCATTCTCTTGAACTGTAATCAGAGGGAAAACGGGAGGCGATTATTAGCGAGAACGATCGATCATGTTAACCGAATGGGCTGATATTTCATTTTTGCTTCGGGCATTCGCAAATTATCACGGGCACCGTATTATAAAGCGCTCTGTAAAATCGTAAATCTTGTGCAGTGTAATAATTATAATTACAATCGTGTAATTTCCGATCTATAAAGCGGGTTCGATAAAATCGTATCGCGTGTCGCATCCTTGATCTAAATGTGCCTCATACTGTCTGAAAATTCTACGGGTTCTACACGACGAGACCTAGCAGAACGCCTCTAGATTGAATCGGACCGGATCCTGAGACAAATTAATTTCTGGACTGAAGTATATTCTCTCTCTTTGTAAAACCGGCTTTACGCATATACATTTGTCATGACATCGTAACGCAAACGCTTGATTTATGATTACGATGATTTATGATTCTTCCAGAGAGATAACAGGTAACGGAAAGCTTAGACACAAAAGTTAAGGGGAGCTTCCGAGATCCGTGAAAGGGAAGAGAAAAATGGAGATCGCACCACAGGAGGTCCACAATAGATATTTTCTTCAAGATAAATTCACGAAAAGTGAACATTTTTTCACTAGAAAGCATTGAAAAGCTTTCTTCGATCGAATAATTGAGAACAATTGATGCTAAGAAATCTTCTGAGTGGAAATCTTTCTGTTCTCACAACCGAGTTTTTCATCTGGTCCTCAAATAACAAAATTCAGTTGTACTAACGAAATTACTTTCTCCGTGCACGAGAAAAATTACTTTCTCCGTTCACACATGGAAAAAATGTTTGATAGTATTAACATGAAGTATGGTTGCAATGAACAAACCAGCGCGGTTTGAAGGAAACGGATAATTTTCGGCCCTTGGAAACAAATTTGAGTTATAAGAACTAAAAGTTTTGTGTCCCTCACCCAAAACGTGTTGTTTCATTTCGTTTAAAGTCAAACTTCGCGTTAACGAAACCGAATTTTTCTCTCTGAGCATCAAGAAATACATCTATGATCTCTAGGAGAGTAAGAAATAGAGAGAAAAGGGGGAGGATCAGAGATACCGAGGTTTCAGGTCTCCCAGGGCAACCGGCGAATCCTTCTCCAGCGAGAATCTTCACCTCTCGCAACCGTGGCGACTCTCGACCCTTATCTCGCCATGAATTTGCGATATTTGCGCGTATTTCCACGGGACACGCACACAGAAGGGGGCACGCGGTGAAAAGGTGGATGGGGGCCCGCAGAATCGCGCACTCCCCCACCGGGCAAACAACATCGATCCAGTCTCGTCTGCGTTTCCAGCCCTTATCAGTCGCTATCTCGCCGCGTATCTGCGCCGTCTTTGCACGTGTGTGCGCTCGCCCGGCGGCCAGATAAACGCGGATATGTGTATTCGTGCAAATATATCTGCCGCGCGCGCGCTCGCAGGATAGAGTAATGACCTGAACTGTGTTATCGCATAGGTTCACCACACCGCATAACACGCTGATTAACCTGTCCGTCGGCGTGGCGAAATATTTCGGCCCGGCTCTCTCGTATCGCGCGCGGCTCTTTCTGCTCAAATCGAGCAAATAATTACGACCGTCGCGGATTGCCACGGATTGCGGCGAGGAGCGTGGCGTCTCGCTTATTCGAGACACACGGCGCTTCCGTTGAGCGCACAATGTAGGGCCATAAAGATAAAGAGGATCTCGAAAGGCTAAGTAGGTCGGCGGAGAAATCCAGCCGATAGGTATTGCACGCGCTCGTGCTCGCGAGTAATAAATTAACGCGCTTGTGTGCCAAGCGTAATAGGATTTTTCAGGTGCGACGAATCCGGGCGAAAATTGGGTTCTAGTTTAACGACGGCGAGCGCGTCGCTGCGAGCATGTGAGTATCGGGAGACCGAAAGCTCGTCGCAAAAATTCGTCAGGGCTCGTCATGATGGAGTGTTGAGGACGAGCGAGAGAGAAGCTGCGGAAAGTTCAGTGCTACTTGCGGAAAATACACAGACAGGGAAATACATAAATGTTGAGGGGTAAGAGTACTAAAATGCCCGGATACATTTAATTATAATCACTACACTGAGAAAAAATACATGAAAATTTATTTCATTTATTCACCGAAATAAACTTTATATTCTATAAATAAATTTGAAATATTTTTTCACAGTTTATTCTATTATTATATTATTTGAAGATATATGATCCTGGACATCGTGATTCTTTTGGGGTCTCTAAATACGAATATTTAAACTTTCAACATACGTACATATATTGAATATACACGTATATTCTACGTGAGAAGTTTAAATATTCGCATTTAAAGATCAAAATAATAAGAGTGTCCAGAATTAGGTGCATATTCATGGACGTAGTATACATGGATCCTGTATACGGCCAGAAAAGTGAAGCCAATATGTACAGCCCCTCTGTGTTCTCTGTCTCTTTATGTACAGACAAAGTGTGCAATAAAATTTAAGTAAGATTTTTACTTGCCAGTCTAGTCAGGGTGCTGTTGCGCTCTATAATATTATGGAAACGAGAAATGGATGCACGCGCAACAAAAAAGTGACAAAATAGGAAGAAAACTATAGCCCCTCTATTCTAGCTCTCTTTTTAGATGTTGGCTTTACTCTATTAGACGACAGAACATAGGAGTCCATGTATACTATGTCCATGTGCATATTCGAGAATTGTTTACTTTCCGGATACTTTTATTTTTATCGCCACGTAATTCGTGTTTCGAATATTCAGTAAGATCATCTGGTTGCGACAAAGTCATGTTAACATGACTGTGAGGCAATTAAATCACGTTTACGAGCAGATAAATATGAAGATGCGTGATAAGATTCCACGGTTATCTTATGTTCGATTGATTCCTCTTACGAATAGTATTACAACCATGACTGTGACTCTCTCTTTTTAATATTATGATTTACGTAATCGATGTCGCGACAGAAAGAAAAATAGTCCCCCTCCCGCGAAAAGCGCCTGATCCGATTCGCGCGCGATTCAACCGGATTAATGTCATGAGGCAACGTCACAGTGTCTACTTTGGATTCACCTTTCTGCCATAATTATCAATGAACTTTCATTGAAATGTCGCAAAAGGCCACGACCACGCGGCCGCGCATGTCGTTCCTTCTCCACCTCCATCCATCGTTCCTTCCAGTGTATTTTTATTGCGACGCGCTTAATCGATCTGTCGTTTAACGCGTGACTCGTTTTGTGCGTTATACGGCGAAATGCATTCGAGTACTTTGATATCGTTTATTTTTATCGAGTATTTGTAAGTATAGAATGTGAGAGAGAGAGAGAGAGAGAGAGAGAGAAAAAGAAAGAGAGCGAAATATCAAGTCGTGGGAACGCGTCTCAACGCGCGGTTTCACGGCGGATGAAATTATGGCAACACGCACGAGCCGATTAATTGAGTTCGGCGATTATTTGACCTGCAATATCTACCGTACTTCGGGCCTCGGGCTTGACAACGTAATCTGCCGGATTATACGTTTGTTCGTTCATTTGTTTGGATATGCAAAAGCGCGCGTTTTATATTTCGCATTTGCAGACGAATTCGTTCTGTCAGCGGTCCCTACTATATCTTCCTAATTAAACGATCGCATTCCGCGAATGAGGAGGAAGGAACTCGATGTCGATGAACTGAATTGTTGATTAATGGCGCAATTTTCGTGTTTACAAGACGCGCTCAAAGTTGTGCTAAGCTCGAAACTCGGATCCTGGAAAGTGACGAGTGATCGATCCATCTTTACCCAATACTCTCGTTCGCGGAACTTGAGATAAGCTGCTTCTGCGTTTTCGTCGCGATCTACCTCTCAATTGAAACGTCCGTTGATCGTGATTTCGTTGCACCTTATCTGCGATTATATCGGGCGTCTCGAGAGTTTTTGCGAACGGCGTTTCACAGAAAACTCTTTTGCGTATATCGATTATAGCATCGATCAGCGATCATCAGATACCGCGATCTAAAATTAAATCTGCGCGACCGATGGCGCAGTCTAAAATTGGATCATGTGGAGTATTTAGCTATTACGTCCAACTGCGCCTTATAATCCATCTTATACTGTTCTTATAATCGTCCGTTAATTTTGAATTCGTATCGCTTAGGAAAATAATGAGGCGCTTTGCTAAAAATGCCATCGCAATCTGTCCCGTTCACCCCCATCGCGATCACCGATCGCAACGAATCGGTCATCAGTGAGATATTTTCGAGTGATACCTGTTTCCGTTAACGTCGATCAACTCTCCGCGTACATTCATATTTTTCGGACATACACTGAGAAAAAAATACTTGAAAATTTATTAATGAGATATAAAGTTTATTCCTATGTGTAAAATGAATTTTATTTCACAGAAATAAACTTTATTTCACAAGAATAAATTTTACAACCCGTAAATATTCAAGTACTTCTTTTCAATCTGTCTGCAATCTGAGTCTGTCAAAACCCCGAACAATTTAAACCATCATAACTACCATAACTTTGTTGAAAATCAATATTTTTAATGAATATTTTTAAACACATTTTTTTCAAATATTTAAAAAAGTCTTAGCCATAAGAACATGACAGTAGTGCAATAGAATCAAAATCTGTTAATAGATTTGCATAATTTTTAAATAAAAGGGAAAATCATTCAAGTTGGTGAGCGACCAAATATTCGTTTAGGTTTCACAGACCCAATATTGTACGACAGAGGGTTAAAGCTTAACTATAAATTCTATTCAGATAAAGAATAAAATTTATGTTGAGGTTTCATCGACGTTGGTGGAAACAAGTATGAGTGAGAGGAAATGAGTGGGTGATCGATCGATCGATCATTTTCCGAAATCCTATCGTAGCACTTTTATTTGCTGCAAATACCGCGACAGATGGCCGCTGATCTCTCGAGGGCTGCTAATAAAATCGAATGACACAGATAACTCGGGCATATTGCGTTTCCATTTTCGATTGTTTTACGGATCAACTGAAACCGGCTCGATTAATCTGCGACGC